AATACATATATATACATGTATATGTATTTATATATGTATGTGTATATATATAAATATACTTGTATATATGTATATGCATATATATTTGTATAAATGCATGTATATATGTGTATATTTTTATTTGATATATATAGAAATATATATACATAGAAGTATTTATGTTTATATTTGTATTTGTATGTGGATATGAATATGTATATATATATGTGTGATTTTTTTTATTTTGTATGTATGTATGTATATGCATATATATATATACATATATATGTGTTTATATATGTATATGTATATATAAATATATTTGTTTGTATGTATATGTATATATATATTTGTATAGATGTTTGTATATATATGTGTATGTTTTTTATTTTGTATATATATAGTTATATATTTTTATATAGGAGTATATATATTTATATTTTTATTTGTATATAGATATGAATATATATGAATATATATATATATATATATATATATTGCTATTTATTTATTTTATTTTAAATTTAAAAAAAATCGATTTTTTTCATATTTTTCGGAATTTTTTAAAAAATATGACGTGGCATGCTGATGTGGCAAAAAATCTATGTGGCGTGCCACGTCAGCCGCCACGTGGCATGCCATGTCAGCGGTTAACGGACACTTAACACCGTTTTCGGATTGTGTAGGAAATTGCAGTTAAATTGGGTAGTTCGTGTATCAATTTGGCACATTTGATAATTTGGTGTAGTTTTTTGTCAAATTAAAAATTCGTGTAGGAAAAGGTCACATTTTGCAAAGTTAGTGTAGGAAAATGTCATTTTCCCTTAATATTAATATTTTCGTTCTTATGATATATACATGTATTCATTGATACTTGAGTAGAATTAACCCTAAACTATATATAAATACCGATATTCTTTATAATTAATTTATGGACGGCTATGCCGCCTTGATTATTATTCATGGACGGTTATGTCACCTTAATTGTTAATCTGGACGGTTATGCCATCTTAAATATGTATTTGTTATTGGACGGCTGTGCCGCCTTAATTATTAATTTGGACGGTTTTGCCGCCTTAATTATTTATTTGTTATTAGACGGCTATGCCGCTTTAATTGTTAATATTGGACGGCTATGCCACCTTACTTATTAATAGACTATTGTGTTTATTCTTTATAGACGGCAATGCCGCCTGAATTATTTTACTTCTGCAGACGGTAATATCGCCACATATAAACAGTTATGTTATCTAATCTATATAAATTAATAAATATTCATCATGCAAAAAATTATTATATATAATAGAAATTTATTGATGGTCATTTATACGAAATTTTTTTGAACTTAATCTAAAAAAATGTGTTAGTAATAAAATTTACAAATAAAGTTTTATAAATTCTTTCATATATCGGTAAATTAATTATAAATTATTTGTTTCCTCGATAATTAATTAACTATATACATAGCATGATCAATTAATTTTACAAAATAATTTAACAATTCGTTTTGATAAATATTTTATGTATAGTTTTATGATATAAATTGGTTAAATCATTTATAAAATTTTTTTTGAAAAAATTTCTCCAACGGCTACAATTAAAAAAATAAAAATCAAAAAATCAAAATTTGGCTCCTCCCCAACGGCTAGGAATAGTAAATTTTACCCTATAAATATACTCACCTATTCACTCAAAAACTCACACCAAATCATCTCATTCTCTTCTCTTCTCCCACGAAAAAAAATCTTTCAAGATGAATTTCATCAAAATTCTCTTTATTTTAGCAATTTAAGCAGCAACGTTTAGTATTTTCTTCGATAAAAATCTCGATCCACTTTTGTTTTCAATTTGCGTTGCGGTCCTACCTCTCGTTTATGTGTTACTAATTATAGCAATTTATATGTAATCATGTATTTCACTATGTTGTATTATTCATGGTAATGAATAAAACTAATGTATGGCGTATTTTTTTGTTTAGTCATAATGATAAGAATGACAAATATCGAGTTCGAGGTCCTCGACATATCGGGAAATAATTATTTATCATGGCAGTTGGATGCAGAACTGCATCTCGAATCAAAAGGTCTTGGTACCACCATTAAAGAACAAAGTGCATCAAAAGAGAATAAAGCAAAGGCACTAATATTACTGCGACATCATCTTCATGATGATCTGAAAAAGGAATATTTGACAATCAAAAATCCTGCAGACCTTTGGTTAAAATTAAAAGACCGTTTCGATCATCAAAAAACGGTGATCCTCCCCAAGACAAAATATGAGTGGATGCACCTCCAATTTCAAGATTTCAAGAATATCAGTGAATATAACTCGGCAATGTGTCGAATCACTTCGATTCTAAAATTATGTGGAGAAACAGTTACCGAAAATGAGATGTTGGAGAAAACTTTCTTTAGTATGCATGCCTCGAATATTATACTCCAACAACAATATCGAGAAAAAGGGTATACAAAATATTCAGAGCTTTTATCATGTCTCATATTAGCTGAACAAAATAATGAGATGTTAATGAAAAATCACGCATCACGACAGACTAGATCTGTACCATTCCCGGAAGCGAATGCTATAGAAAACAAGTCATTCCATGAATCAAATGCTACACAAAAAACATCATTCCCTGGAGAGAATGCTATGTCTTATAATGGCCGAGGACGTGGTTATTTTCGAGGTAGAGGCCGAGGCCGAGGTCGAGGATGTGGTCGTGGTGCTAGCCGAAGTTGGATAAGAGGAGGTGGTAAAGAAAACTCATCTCAAAATTATAATTTTAACAATAATAAAGGGGAAGTAAGCGCATGAACATCCAAATAAGAGGCTGAAAGAAAGTACATGCTACCGGTATGGAATGATGGGACATTGGTCGCGTACTTGCCGCACAGCTAAACACCTAGTGGAACTTTATCAGAAGTCAATTAAAGACACAAAAGGGAAAGATATCGAGACCAATCATGTCACGAGTGATTATGATGATGATGCTAGTGGTGCTGAGGACTTTGCCCATATGGACCTCGCTGTTGATTTTGCCCATCCTGAAGATGGAGCCGGTTATGAATAAAAAAACTATATAAATGTTTGCATACTTATAATCAATCTTATCTACATATACATTCTCATGTATAAATAATTTCATGATATGTTGTTGTGCTTTGTACCACTATTTCTGCTTCATAAGTTAGTAATGATATTATGCATTATTAATATATCTATTTTAATGATTGTCATGTTGTTGTGTTTTTAGAAAACGAATATGGCTAAAATTGCGGACCGAGGAGGAGATATATGTTTGGCAGATAGTGCTACAACACATACAATAGTGAAAGACAAAAAATATTTCTCGAATATGAAAATAAACAAATGAAATGTTACTACTATATCTGTAAATGCAAAAATAATCGAAGGCTCCAGAAGAGCCGATTTTATTATGCTAGGAGGAACGAAATTTACAGTAAAAGATGCATTATTTTCCTCAAAGTCCCAAAAAAATTTAATGAGTTTTAAAGATATCCGACAAAATGGATATCTTATTGAAACTATGAATGAGGATGATACTGAGTACTTATATATCACCTCAATCAATTCGGGACAAAAGTATGTGTT